TCGATTGGAACCCAGCTCACGGATGTGTTGTGCGCCAGATGCTCGCACAATTTAACGATATATCGACCGGTAGAAGAATGCAAGAAGTGCCACTTTGCCTACATTGATTTTATCGCGGAACACACCGACGATTTTTATACGCTCCAGGACCACACGGTATACATAATTGACGGCCCTTTGATTTAATCCGGAACAGAAAACCCTACCCCAGCTCCCGGTCATATCTTCATCCTCCGCCCCGGTAAAGCCTCAGGGTTGACCAAAAAGGGAGGACGTACGTCCGGCAGGTGTAAACGGCCGCAAAACCGTGACCCAGCCCCTGGGACATAACAAAGCCTTTCAGAAGAAACAGATGATCCTACTACGGTTAAATATTTTAGTGCTATTTTCAATAAATATACATATGTAGAACTCAATTTTTTCCACATCTCTAAAGAATTATCTCCAAGTCGACCAACAGACTCATATAAAGAATGATTTTTTACGGTATATTTTTAGAATCTAAATTGTTTGCTTTTGTTTTTTTTTAGGTAGTTTGGACAAGCTTATGATGATCGCTCCATAAAGAAAATCCGCTGGAACCTAGAAAAAGAATAATATAATTGGTAATTATAACAGTTGTACGATGTATTCCGTTAGGGTAGGTTAGGGTAAGTTAGGTTAAATTAGGTTACTATAGTCATTCCCGTCGCGGGCGGCTGCCGAGACTCAGCCTGCAGGTAGGTGAGGCACGGGTTGAGGTGGGTACAACTTTCAAGTACCTTGGTTTACACCTCGACTCGAAATGGCGCTTCGACGAGCACTTCGCTTGTTTGGTCCCAAAAGTGGGGAGAATTGCTAACTTCTTGGCAAGACTCCTCCCCAACTTGAGAAACCCACAGGAGAAAATTCGCCGTCTGTTCGTAAATGTGGTCTACGCGATGGCCCTTTATGGATCACCACTGTGGGCTGAGGCCGCAGCGGGAGCGGGCGCGCGGAGTAAATTTAATCTGCTTCGCGCGGCCCAGAAAAAGATGGCCCTCCGCGTTGCGCGCGGCTTCAGAGACGAGGCCACAGAGACGGCGGGCGTGCTGGCGGGGATTTCTCCCCTTGCCCTCTTAGCTCGGGACTACTCGGCAAGGTACTCTCTCCGAGTCGAGCTGCTTAAGGAGGACATGGAGGGCGATGCCCTCGGGGAAGCCATTGCCGAGTCGAAGCGTCAGGCCCGGCAACAGCTCCTCCAACGGTGGAAGGAGTCTCTGAGTGTCCCGCGAGCGGAAGCTCAGAAAGTTATCCGGGTTGTCCAACCCCACCTTCAAGTGTGGTTGGAAAAGGAGGTCAAGCGTCTCACCTACCGTGTAACGCAGGTGCTTACCGGGCATGGGTGCTTTGGTGAGTACTTGTGTCAGATAGGTAAAGAGCCGACGACTCAGTGCCATGAGTGCAAAGCGGCCAACGACTCAACGGGCCACACTGTGGAAAAATGTCCAAAGTGGTCCGGTGAGCGTCAAGAGTTGGCCGCCGAGATAGGGCAGGACCTCTCCCAGGAGGGCCTGATGAAGGCTCTTGCCTCCAGGGATGAGGAAGAGTGAGAGGCTGTGGTCTCCTTCTGTTCCGGTGTTATGGAGCAGAAGAAGGCCGCAGAGAGAGAGAGAGAGAGAGAGAGAGAGCTTCTCTTTCTCAAGAGGGACTTCCAGGGCGCGTGCGGGCGGGGTGCAGGGCCTCCGCCTCTCGCGCGCGACCCCGAGGTCTAAACAAGAGCCCTTCCTGATATCGGTCCCCTCCCCGCTCTTAGTGGGAAGAGGTACTGGGGCGATGTGAGTTAGGAGAGCCTCGCTCTCCCGTCATCTCGCCGCCCCAGCGGGGCAATTACTTAGGACAAAAGGAAGTCGCAACAGCCTCCCCAAGTAAACTCGTCAGCCGGGGAGGGAGTGTACCTGTTGCGGGGATCGTGACGAGCCGGGGTTGGGACCCTGGCTCGTCCTGCACGCGATTCCGGAGATGGGACGGCGCGGCGGCGTGTGTCCCGCTGTGCCGTCGAGATCCGTGATGATAGGGGAAAGACGCAGAGTCCTCCCCCGACGGGATGGAGTTAACTCGAGGGAGGGCTTAGAATTGAATTGTTACACAAAGGTACCGGGCCTTCCTTTAGATGAGCAAAGAAGGCACACCATAAGGGTTTTAGTGGGTATACTCTCCCTGACCTGCGGGCCAGAGAGGGGAGTCCCACATAATCCCGGCCTTATTCCCCGAGGGCCGGGGTATCCGTAATGGATTTCCCCCATAATAAAAAAAAAAGGTTACTATAGTCATAACGCAGTTGGCCGTAAGACTAAAAGGAATGCGGCGGGTGCGACAGGGTCTCCGGCCCCTGTGGCCCGACCCACTTCTGGCTTCTCCGCTGGGCGGACAACCCCAGAAAGCTGAGAAGAGAAAGCGGCGGGTCAAGCTCCGGGCTTCCACAACTTCCGCAGTCGTAGTGGCCAGCAATCCGACTGTTCCCGCCTTCATCGAACTAATGGAGGTGTCACATCCGTGGACATAAAAATATTAATTATTATTATACTGAGTTTTTTTTTTTTTCATTACAATAGTCGGCAAATTACCAGCCTTGAACATATACCATGGTCGATAATGTATCATGGTCAGTAATATACCATGGTCAGTAATATACCATGGTCGGTAACATACCATGATCGATAATATACTATGATCGGTAATGGGCGGGTTCCGTTTGACCACAGTACGATTCGACACCGCTCGATTCGACACAGATTTATTCGACACCAAATTATTCGACACCGTACGATTCG